TCTCTTATGGTTTGTCTCCCTCTCTGTTTTCATCTTACTTTATTTTTCTTTCCCTTCCCTTCCCTTCCCTTATGTTCATGTTTTGTTTCTTAAATTCCACATATGAGTGAAATCATATGGTATGTGTCTTACTCTAACTTGTTTTGCTTAGCATAATACACTCCAGCTCCATCCATGTCATTGCAAATGGCAAGTTGATGGCTGAGTAATATTCCATTGTACATATATACCACATCTTTATCCACTCATCTGCTGATGGACATCTGGGCTCTTTTCATAGGCTATTGTGGACATTGCTGCTATAAACATTGGGGTGCATGTGCCCCTTCAGATCACTACATTGGTATCTTTGGAAAATACCTAGTAGTGCAATTGCTGGGTCATAGGGTAACTCTATTTTTAACTTTTGAAGACCCTCCATACTGTTTTCCAGAGTGGCTGCACCAGTTTGCATTCCCACCAACAGTGTAGGAGGGTTCCCCTTTCTCTGTATCCCCGCCAACGTCTGTTGTTTCCTGAGTTATTAATTTTAGCCATTCTGACCAGTGTGAGGTGGTGTCTCGTTATGGTTTTGATCTGTATTTCCCTGATGTTGAGCATTTTTTCATGAGTCTGTTGGCCACTTGTATGTCTTCTTTGGAGAAATGTCTGTTCATGTCTTCTGCCCATTTCTTGACCAGAGTTTTTTGTTTTTTGGGTGTTGAATTTGATAAGTTCTTTATAGATTTTGGATACTAGCCCTTTATCTGATAAGACATTTGCAAATATCTTCTCCCATTTCATAGTTGCCTTTTAGTTTTGTTGACTGTTTGCTGTGCAAGAGCTTTTTATTATGATGAAGTCCCAATAGTTCATTTTTGGTTTTGTTTCTTTTGCTTTTGGGGATGTGTCTAGCAAGAAGTTGCTGTGGCCAAGGTCAAGAGGTTGCTGCCTGCATTCATCTCTAGGGTTTTGATGGATTCCTGTCTCACATTAGGTTTTTTATCCATTTTGAGTTTATTTTTGTGTATGGTGTAAGAAAGTGGTCCTGTTTCATTCTTCTGCATGTGGTTGTCGAATTTTCCCAACCCCATTTATTGAAGAGACTGTCTTTTTTTTCCATTGAATATTCTTTCCTGCTTTGTCAAAGATTAGTTGGCCTTAGAGTTGAGAGTCCATTTCTGGGTTCTCTATTCTGTTCCGTTGATCTGTGTGTCTGTTTTTGTGCCAGTACCATACTGTCTTGACGATTACAGCTTTGTAATAGAGCTGGAAGTCCGGAATTGTGATGCCGCCAGCTTTGGTTTTCTTTTTCAACATTACTTTGGTTATTTGGGGTCTTTTCTGGTTCCATACAAATTTTAGGATTGTTTGTTCCAGCTCTGTGAAAAATGTTGATGGTGTTTTGATAGGAATTATATTGCTTTGGGTAGCATATACAATTTAACAATATTTGTTCTTCCAAGCCATGAGCATGGAATGTTTTTCCATTTTTTTGTGTCTTCCTAAATTTCTTTCATAAGTGTTCTATAGTTTTCAGAGTATAGATCCTGCATCTCTTTGGTTAGGTTTATTCCTAGATATCTTATTGTTTTTGGTGTAATTGTAAATGGGATCAATTCTTTGATTTCTCTTTCTTGTGCTTCATTGTTAGTATATAGAAATGCAACTGACTTCTGTGCATTTATTTTATATCCTGTCACTTTGCCAAATTCCTGTATCAGTTCTAGCAATTTGGGGGTGGAGTCTTTTGCGTTCTTTACATAGAATATCATGTCGTCTGTGAAGAGTGAAAGTTTGACTTCTTTGCCGATTTGGATGCCTTTTCTTTCTTTTTGTTGTCTGATTGCTGAGGCTAGGACTTCCAGTACTATGTTGAATAATAGTGGTGATAGTGGACATCCCTGTCATGTTCCTAACCTTAGGAGAAAAGCTCTCAGTTTTTCCCCATTGAGGATGATATTCACTGTGGGTTTTTTGTATATGGCTTTTTGATATTCGGTATGTTCCTCTATCCCTACACTGTGGAGCGTTTTAATCAAGAAAGGATGCTTTATTTTGTCAAATGCTTTTTCTGCATCAGTTGAGAGGATCATATGATTATTGTCCTTTCTTTTATTAATGTTGTGTATCACATTGATTGATTTGTGGATGTTGAACCAACCTTGCAGCCCAGGAATAAATCCCACTTGGTCGTGGTGAATAATCCTTTGAATATACTGTTGGATCCTATTAGCTAGTATCTTGGTGAAAATTTTTTTATCCATGTTCATCAGGGATATTGGTCTGTAATTTCCTTTTTTTGTGGGATCTTTGTCTGGTTTTGGAAACAAGGTAATGCTGGCCTCAGAGAATTGAGTCTGGAAATTTTCATTCCATTTCTATTTTTGGAACAGTTTCAGAAGAATGGGTATTAGTTCTTCTTTAAATGTTTGGTAGAATTCCACTGGGAAGCCATCCGGCCCTGGACTCTTGTTTGTTGGGAGATTTTTGATTACTGATTCAATATCTTTGCTGGTTATGGGTCTGTTCAGGTTTTCTATTTCTTCCTGTTTCAGTTTTGGTAGTTTATATGTTTCTAGGAATGCATCCATTTCTTCCAGATTCCTTAATTTGTTGGCATATAATTGTTCATAATATGTCTTAGAATTGTGTGTATTTCTTCAGTGTTGGTTGTGATCTTTTCTCTTTCATTCATGATTTTATTTATTTGGGTCCTTTCTCTTTTATTTTTGATAAATCTGGCTAGGGCTTTATTGATCTTACGGGGATTCTTTCAACAAACCAGCTCCTATTTTCCTTGATCTGTTCTACTATTTTTTTGATTTCTATACCATTGATTTGTGCTCTAATCTTGGAGCATCTTATTTCCTGTGACCTTGTGGTCATCAAGCCCTACCATATGCATCTGGCTCTCTCTCCTCAGTGCTCACATATCTGCCTGTTACCAGTGTGTAGAAATGGCCCATCACCATCAGCTCTGCTGTCCTTTTCAGCTACAGTCATGGGCATTCATTTTTCCTCTGTGCCTGGCTAACCCCCATTTTCACTGCACACACATAATGTTACCCCTTTCTTTGCTTATGAGAGATCCCTCTTACGCCTCCCTCCTGTCGACCCATGGATGCTTTCTGTCTGTTCATTTGGCAGGTATTTGTGAACACAGTGTCTGTAGGATTCTTGGACTATGAAAGGAAGAAGATTGTTATTCCCTTGATCCAGGTTTGTTATCCTGGGGAGCTGGGTGATGGCTAGCACCATGCTGCTTCCCGAGCAGGTTTGGTGGGAGTCAAAGAGGAAGACCTGGAAGACAGGAAGCTCCTTAACCACAGAGCTGCTGATGGAAAGAGGGGCAAAACATTGCTATTGATGAGTGGGTACTCTTTCACCGCTATTCTCAGAGTTCAGGGAAGAACTGGGGTTCCGCAAAGAAACTCTGAGGTGCAGCTGTGATCTTATGGCTGGGGAATCAGGTGGTCATCATCGACCACTATGTTCCTGGCAGGGTTACACCAGGCTGAGGATCTTGGTGGAGAATCGCGGGCGAGTCAACTACGGGGATAACATTGATGACCAGCGCAAAGGTGGGTCATAGCATGTGCTGAGAGAAGAGCTTCTAGTGCTCAGCAATGCCTGGCTATTTTTTCTTCAAACCAGCGCACCAGCTGGTCATGGAGGCTGACTGTAGTGAGGTGGAGTCATGGTGGCCCATTGGAGGGAATTGGGTTGTGGGAACCCATTGAAGGGAGGTGGGTCATGGAGGCCCACTGGAGGGAGGTGGTTTGTGGAGGCCCATTGGAGGGAGGTGGGTAATGGAAACCCATTGGAGGGAGGTGGGTAATGGAGGCCCACTGGAGAGTGGTGGATTGCAGAGGCCCATTGGAGGGAGCTAATTCATGGAAGCCTATTGAAGAGAGGTGGAAGTGGGCCTTCCTGAAAGGCCCATGTGGGTTCTGACCTCTTTCTTATGCATGTTGTCCACATGGCCATGGTGAACACACAGGGAACACTGAGCCAGCCTCTCCAGATCTCCCTGGGTTGTAGTCTGCTTTAGTAGGGGACTATCTGCTGGGGCTGGGCTGGGGTGGTGAGGCTTAAGGAAGGGGATTCCCAGGAAGCCAAAAAGGGCATACATAGGACCCCTGCCTTCTTGGGTCTCCACACTGAAGTTTTCTTTTCTTTTCTTTTTTTTAGAGTTTTTATTTATTTATTTTAGAGGGGGAGAAAGAGAGCATGTACACATGTGAGTAGGGGGAGGGGCAGAAAGGGAGAGAATCTTGAGCAGACTATGCGCTGAGCATGGAGCCTGACACAGGGCTTGATCTCACAACCCTGAGATTATGACATGAGCCGAAACCAAGAGTTAGACACATAACTGACTGAGCCACCCCAGTGTCCCAGAATTTCTTTTCTTGATCCACTGTGGAAACCCACTGATGATCTCAGTTGTGGTGGGGAGGAAGAGGTAGTACCTGCAGTAAACAAAATGCTCTTGATGGAATGCTCCCCTAGGAATATCCCACCAACTCATTTTATTTTTCCTGGCCTTCTAAAACTTCTCTGCTTAAATTTGCCTCTTCCTTTTCATCTATCAAAATGTCGGTGGTTTCATGTAAGTTATAAGAATTCAGACAAATAAATCCTACTATGGTAAGGGATACTGGTGACCTCCCAACTCTCTCATGGGTGTTTGCCTTTGTAATGAGGAAATTTGTGCATCCCTTCCTTTGCTGCCTGGGAAACGCTGTAGCCCAGCCATTGGGGGTTTCTTGGGTCTTGGGGTTTGGCCCTCTCCAGATAGGCCTCATGGTAGCTTCTAGTACTGTCCAGGCTTATCTTCCTTTTCTCCTAAAGAATCCCTCAGTGTTCCTCTCTGGATATTGGCTTCTTCCCCTAGGAGCTCCATCTCCAGGCCCATCTTCACTTCCTTTGCTCTCTTGTGGGCAGGAAGGGATTGCCAGGCTCACCCCGTTCTCAGCCTTTGCCTCTCCAGGTTCCTGAGTAAGATGTGCCCTGGACTCTCACTGTGGAGTACTTATCCCCTAGAACAGTTCAGTGTTTATAAGTCAAAGAGCTCCCCCCGCCCCACACCTGTACCTGTAATTTAAGAGTCTGTAGGCTCTCTGAAACCTGTTTGCACTTCCCAGCCTATGCAGATTCCCTCTCTAGCAATTCAGCAGCTCCATGATTGTGAGGACCATGGGAGCTGCTCCAGGACTAACATTGCTGGCCCCTTCCCCAAGGCACTAGCTAATCACTATGCAAGTGCGTGTGGGTTCTCAGACTTGGATACCCAAGTCATATTGCCATCTGTTCACAATTTAAATACTTAATATATCTTTATTCCTAGGTCATGTAGAAGATTTCTGGCTGAATTATTAGGTCTGTTCAGTCTGGGACCCTACTGAATCTGATCTTGAAGCTAAGTTAGAACTGCTGTGACCTCTTGATTATCTGCCCTTTGGGACTCATTTTAGGCCCCAAAATGGAGCTTCCCCTTCAGAGAAAGGCCAGAGATTATTCTCACCCAATGACATTCTCAGCTCCCATTACCCTCAGATGTAGTCTTCTATGCAAATCCTAGGGAGGTCCTGGCAAACACTGCTGTTACTAATTCTTTTCTCCTTTGGGATTTCTAGAGAAGGTTTTATGCCATATGAAGAGCTCTGTAGGGAGTATATACTTCTGGAGGAATCCTCACTGAAACTTTTCAGAAATTCTCCATGTATGTGCAGGGCCTTAGCTGGGTCAGCTCTGCCCCTGCCTCTGACCTCATTCATGTTTCCTTGACTCCTTCCCACAGGTTTAATTGGAAATATCTATCTGAATGATTCTCCCCTGAAAAAATTCAGAATCTACAGCCTGGATATGAAAAAGAGCTTCTTTCAGAGGTGAGTCCCCACCGCATGAAGTGTTTGAACCCATGGATAAGGTGCAGTAAGAGGCAGGAAGGCCCAGAGAACTGCTCTGCCCTAGCCCCTCCCACTCTAGTATAAACAGACCCAGAACCCAGAGAAACTTGCCCAAGGTAGGGGCAGTACCAGCACTAGAGACTAGGGAATTTCCATGATACCCTGGTTAACAGGTGGGGGTGGGTGAGGGTATTTGGAATGCCTTTGTAATTAGATTCAGGACAGGTCCAAATCTGAGAAAGTGCCCTCCTTTCTTTCTTGTCTTCCATTCTGTTCATAGGTTCAGCGTCGACAAATGGAGCCCTATCCCTGAAGTACCTACGTTCCCTGCTTTCTTTTTGGGTGCCTTGTCTATTTCCCTTTCCCCTTTTGACACCTTCATGAAGCTGGAGGTTTGTAGTCCCCTCCCTGCCTGGGCTCTCCGGTCTTCCCTCAGAGAGCTCTGAGCCCAAGCCCTGTACCTGTCCTTGCTGGAGTCCTCTATACCACTTGCACCCAGAGATTCTCTGTTTTGCCCTCTCTGAAGGGCACCTGGGGCCTCCCTGGGGCCTCCCTGGGTGGGGGAGTGGATTCAGATCAGAAGAACCACCTGGTGGTACTTCTCAGGGTCCAGGTCTGCTCTTGAGTACCTTGCTCGGGAGCTCAGAGCTAGTGGATTCAGGAGATAGAACACCCTTGTGTTAACCTCATGGCTGTTGAAATACTCATTCACACTGGTATCTTGGAAGCTGAGAGAAGCACTCATGGCATGTGTCTGTCTCTGTCTTCCCATGTGACTTTATATTCAGTGGCTGTCATGGTCAACTAATCCTTTTCCCACTCTGCTTAAAGGGCTGGGAGAAGGGGGTTGTATTCATCAATGGCCAAAACCTTGGACGCTACTGGAACATTGGACCCCAGGAGACCCTCTACCTCCCAGGTGCCTGGTTGGACCAAGGCATCAACCAGGTGGGAGCACTTGCAGCTTCTTCCCTCGACTCAGCCCTCCCTGGTATCACAGTGTTTTCCTGGGGGTGGGGTTCAGGTAACAGTCTATTTAAGCTCATTACGGTAGGAGATGGGGCAGAAGGTTTAGCCAGCCCCTTCTGCATTCCTCCTGGGTGATGAGGAGTTGTGGGTCCCTGTTCCTTCCAGTGTGGCTCTCAATCCCTTCCCCTAAGGCACCCTCATCTGGCTCCAAGACAAACCTTTGCTGCTGTCATACACCAGCCCTTCTCTCCCCCAGGTTATTGTTTTCGAGGAGAAGATGGCAGGCCCTGTGATACAGTTCACTGAAACACCCCACCTAGGCAGGAGCCAGTACCTTGATTGAGCAGCACTGCCCCGCACCCCCTGGTGGCGGGAAGCAGGAGAGCACCACTGTCCCCCTCAGCTGACCGGAGCCTGGTGCTCTGCTCCCTCACACCCTCCCACGCAGGAGAGTTTCTTTAAGTAGCATCCTCAGGCAGCCATGTGGCTACAGCAAGGCCCACTCGTTCAGTTCAAGACCCTAAACTTGGAAGAACTGAAGAAGAAAAGTGGGATAGGAGGGTGGGACCCCCTCCTTACCTAAGTGGCTTTTTAAAAAAAAAAAAATTGTTATGTTAATCACCATACATCATTAGTTTTTGATGTCCTAAGTGGCTTCTTGACTGGGCTTTGTTGCTGGCACCTGTCCTACTTCCCTTCTCTTCTGGGAGAGGACAGAGGGACGCCTCTCTAGGGTAGGAATGTCTAATCAGATGTCCACGTGATGATGCCTGGGGCCCTCAGTTGGGCATAACTTCTAGACACAGGTTTGCTCCTATGATGTTCTCACCTGTGCTCAACCATGCCCCTCCTGGCCCCTTTTCATCTGAAATAGAAGGTTTGTCACCATTTGTAGAGGATAGGGAAGCGGGTGGGTGTTTCACCTGAATCATCTTTGTTCTTCTCAACCCTCCCCAAGCCTTCTCTGGGATTCTGGAAGAAGCTCTGAGAGACACACACATTTTCTTCTCATTTTCCACTCTAATTGCATCTGACAGGATGACAACCCAAGCTTAGGAAAAACAGAAATACTCAGCCACTTAGTTTCCTGAATTAGAGAGTATTCCCAGTTTAACTCAATGAGAAGAAGCATCAGCTGAGGAGGGAATGCAGACCCTAGTAAGAACCACACCCTGGTCTGAAGGCCCAGCTCTGGGGGCACGGGCAGGTAGTCTCCCCGGAATGTTGGTGTAGCCACGGGGCCCACAGGCCTAGTCCAGATCTTGCCTCCAGCTCAGTCTCTCTCCCTCAACTCCCTGTAACTAAGCAGCAGGGAGGAGAAGCAGCCTTCCTTTGCAGTTGTCTGTCCAAATTTGAGGCGCTTGTTCTGGGGATTGAATCCACTGGGTTAGCTCTGGTTCCCTGTCCTGAATTGCAATAAAGCAACAGAGTTGAATCAAACCCTTTTTGGTGATACTTTCCTGGTCCCGTCTGTGCCCCTGTTTATCACAGGCAAAGGCATCGTGGGGTCAGGTACCCACTTAGCCCATCCGGCACTCAGAGTCTAGACAGACTTGACCCAGTTAGTGGATGATCCAGCCCCTGTCTCCTTACCACCTCCCTCCCGACCTTCATTCTGCCTGAAATGTCATCGTGAATCGGCAGTGCCCTTGGGGAGGAGAAGTCCTATACAGATCCGTTCTGGTGCTGGTAGGCAGGTGGTAAGAATCTGCTGGACAGCCAGGAGCTCTCCATGTGAGGTAGCGGGTGAGTTTTCCTCAATGTAACATCTGGATTGCACTGCCACAGACTCTCTTCAGTAGTAATCGAAGTTAGATAGCCAACGCCTCCTCGGAACACTGCCTGTGCTAGGAGCCCATAAAGACCTTTGGGGAATAGCAGGCCTTGGAGGCTCCCAGCAGCCCCATGGCTCCCATCTAGGGCCTGCCTAAGGAAGGGGGCATTTGTAGTGTGTGGCCACTGGGCCCAAGAGCTGAGCCTGGGTCAAGGACAGACAGCTGGGCCCAAGGGTCCACTAGGGGCAGAGAAATGGAGCTTAGGAAAGTGAGTTTCATGGACGGGGGCTGGGGAGCCAGATACAGGTAAGTCCCCAGTCTTGCTCAAACTCCTCTACTGTTCCTGAATTGCCTTGGAACGGAAGGCACACAGCTGACACTCGGATGAGACCAGGGCTCGGGCATGGCCGGCACTGGGGAGTGTGTCATCGCACCTTACTTTACACCTGAGCATGATTTTACAAAGGTGTACGTAAAAGCTGGCTTCTGTTGGAAAATGTAATAGGGAACTGGTTTTTAAATGAATCTTACGGTGATCCTTTTGCAAAGTGAAGAATCCCCTTGAATTGCTTTCATCCACATCTGTGCAGGGCTGTATTGGTCCTCTTGCACCAACTCACTGTTCTTGACCTTCTTATCTGCCAGCTGACCCTGCAGCTTCTGTCAAAGCCCCTTGGCAGAGCTCGTTTTCCAGAGTTTATTCATGGTTTGTCCAGACCTTCCTACTGAATGGCCTCATCACAGAGTCTTTAGAAGACTCCTCATAACCCTTACCTCTAAACGCTGAGGGTCTCCAGGCCTGCTCCTTGGGCCTTTTCTTCCCTCTGTCCACACTCACTGTGGGGGGGGCCTCACTGACTGGGGGGTTTGTAAATAGCCTCAACATTCATGCTCTCTGATGTTTTTCTCCATCCAAGCTCCAGGCCCACTCACAGTCCACTCACCTTCTCTCCTGCGTGTGACACCAAACTCCGATGACTCCCCCGTGATCCCTCCTGCACTCCGCCCTGTAGCACAAAATGGCAGTTCTATTCTGTGTCTCAGATTCGTTTTGGCTCCTCTCTTTCATATTGCATAGCCACTCCATCAGGTGATTCTCCTGGCTGTACCTCGGACACGTCCAGAACCTGACCACTTCTCTCTGCCCCAAGGTTTGCTCTTCTGACTCACTGTCCTCTCCTGCCTGGATCATGGCAGGAGCGGCCTCCCCTAGCCTACCCTGCCCTCTGTTTATCGTCAGCACAGGAAGGGGAGTGATTTCTTTACAGGCCAGTTAGATCGTGTTGGTCCTTTGCTCCAAACCCTCCCATGGTTCCAATTCCCTTTTCCCTCGGGGGAGAAGCCGAAAGCATTGCCCTGGTTCCCAGGGCCAACGTATTCCGCACCCTCCACCAACTGCGTCCATCCCCCCTCCCATCCTACCCCCTCCCATCTTGCCAGTCACTTGCAGGCACACTGGCCTTTTTGCTGATCTTTAAACATGCTAAGTACTCTGCATGGGAGCGAGTTCTTTTCTGGAAAGCTCTGACCAAAGTAACTGCTGCACTACTCTGTCCCCTTATCAGGGAGGCTCTTCTTACGGCCCTGGGGCAGGGATCAGCTTCTCCTCAGCTCCACTCTGACACCCGCATCCAGCTTCATACTTCTCCTTAGACCAGATCGCATCTGAAATACTGTAGATTTGCCTAGTGTCCGTGTGTCTCGTTTCCCAAGGAGGGAAGCTCCATGAAGCCAGTGCTCTGGTTTTTTGCTGCTCTGTCCTCGCTCCTAGAATCATGCCTGCCAAATAACTACTTGTTGGATGGTTAAAACAGTATATGAGAATAAGGCATGGCTACGGAGGGTTAGGGCTGTTAAAAACCATGTCTGACTTTTAATTTTGGAAACAAATTAAATACAGTTAAATTAAAACCGACCAGATGGTGCAGCTCCTTCGGCTCTGTTCTCGGGGCTCTGAGCCCCCAGCCTCACTCCTTTGCAGTGGGGGGCAGGAACAGACTGGGTCTGGGAAACAACTTGTAGTCATGGACCCAACTCTGATTTGGAAAAAACTCTTTCCCAACAAAGATGAAAGCTGCAGTCCACCAGGGTTATAATTATAAATAAATACACATGCAGCTAAGAGAGGCTATTAGGTGAAAACAACGGAAATAGCATCCGCCAAAAAAACAAAAACAAAAACAGAGAGAGGGAGGATATCCCATTTTGTTGTTCATTATCGATTTCCTGAAAAATGAGCCCTGGGTTTTTGGCTAAGAAGGTGGCCTAAGACCAGCCAGGCTGACCTGAGCATTCAGGGCTGGTTTTGGTGAGTGAGGCAGTGCCGTGCCTGGGCATAAATTCACTCGTTTGGGGGGTGCCCTGTGCACACCTCCTCCCTCCCCTCCCACGCCACCCCACTTGGTTCTGAGGGGTTGATTCCAGAGCCACCATTGAAAGTGTAAGAGGCTGGGGAACGTCCTGCAAGGTGGCTCAGGGTTCTCAGGGATGCGATCCCGTCGGGTGGTTTCACGAATGCCGTGGGAAGTTAAATCCATTTCAAAATTGGCAGCCAATGCTATTTTTGAATGTTAGGTTGCTGGACTGAATCCTACCCACCCACCCAGGAATGGGTTCTCAGCGGTCCTCAGACCGGTCCTGTGAGTTTAAACGGAGTGGGGGCTGTTAGCGTTAAAAAATAAACACCTCTTCAGTAGGCTCAGGCCTTTCCTTTTCCTCCACTTGGGAGGGAAATTGTGCTTCCAACTTTCAGGAGCATGAGTGAGAGAATCAGAAGAGGGCTGTCTCTGTCAGTGGCCTGTCCTGGTGCAGGAAGCAGTACATGCACACTGTTCTTTCTCTGGGGGGGCAGAGGGGGAGAGGGGACAAGCAGCAGCCTTGTTCCTCGTGCTCCCAACTCAGGGACAAGCGAGGTTTTCATTCCCATTTTATGTTTAAAATAGAATGATTTCCAAAGTAGTGTGTGCTCAGGTCTCCTTTCCCCTCAGGGTCCAAATGATCTCTGCCCCTTTTCCACAAATCCCTCTGTTAACCCAAAGCCCCCATCCCCCGCAACCAGGGGCAGAAAGGAGTATGGAACTGCTCCTGCCTCCCTCCTCTTTCCACCTTGCCCACCCGGGCTCACTTCAGCCCCTGAGGTCTGTGGTTCTCAAGAGCTCTGGAAAGAGGGCTCCTGGCCGCCCCAGTCCCAGCCCAGGCAAAGGGCCCTGGGGCCCAGTGGGCAGGGGGGAGGCAGTGTGTAGACTGGGGACTGCATGGTCTTAGTCCAGGTCAGTCCATGACCTGTGCTGGCTTGAGGGCCCACCTCCTTCTCTGTGCTGGAAGGAGCAGGTTTGAGGGATGTGTGGCCAGAGTAAGGGGCTCTACTCCTACCACAGCCTGGGGTATGGGGGAGCCTGATGACAGGCCCAGGCTCCCCTCATGCAGGGTGGTCGCCTGTTGGGATCAAAGACAGCCTTATGCTCTGGAAATAGGAACCAGAGGAAAGCCAGAGAGGTATGTCTACTTGAGAACAGCTCTCTGAGGAGGGGAGGGGGTGTTCCTGATGCCTGGGCAGGGGGCTGCTCTCTGGTCTTCAGAATTCCCTGGCCGGATGGCCTTGTGCGGTCATGCTGGGCCCCAGGAGCAGGGAGCCAGGGAAGGCCACACTGCACTGGACATCCGGGGTCTTTTCACCTCTCTCCCAGCCTGGCATCACTCCAGGGCTTCGGTGCCCACTGTGTCTGCTCCCGCAGGCCCTGTCAGCGTGGGAAGCTCTGGGGAGGCATGCTGGGGCACCGGCTTGCTGGCTGGCATGGCTCGACTAGCAGCTGGGCCCCTGGTCGTGCTGGATGGAAGAGAACAACAGGTCTGGGATTTCTGTGCTTTAGGTTCTCCGTCCTTTGTCCTGGCATCAAGCTGGGCTCTCTCTGAAGCCTCAGAATAGAAAGGAGGGTGATGGTGATTCCTTAGGAGTTTGCCTCGGAGGGACCATCAGCCATGGGAAGAGGTTGGAAGGCCAGGAACAGGGTCTGAGAAGGAGGCTCCTGTGAAGGGGAGAGGAGGAATATGCGTGAGGCATGAAGAGGGGAGGCAGGTGAGGGGCAGCCAGTCTGGCCAAACTGCCCAATCCTGAGCCCCATCAGAGTTCACCCAGGAGCTCCGCAGAGCCCAACCCCTAGGGTCCTCTGCGGATCCCTTATTGCAAGGCGGCTGGGTTCTTCCAGTGACCAGGTGAGGAGGCAGGGAACGGGGCTCTGTACTGGTGCATTTTCAGCAGCACTGGTCAAGCTGATTTTCTGGTTCAGGGCACAAAGCAGGCCGACGGACACCCTGTGGTCTCCTGTGGGCAGGGCAGTGGCAAACATGATAGGGACGCTGAAGCTTAACTCTGGGGCCGGAGGACAGATACGTATTCCACTGTCTGAGCTCCCACCTCTGTGACGACATCATAGAAAGCCCACAGACAATTCCTGACTTGGAAAACCAGCTGGCACAATTCACTTTGTTTAGCTTTTCTGAACACCATTTCTTTACCTCTAAAATGTAGATAGGTCCTGTGGCCTACTTCAATAGAAAGTTTTATTTATTTAGTTATTTATTTTTTATTATGTTATGTAAATCACCATACAGTGCGTCATTAGTTTTTGATGTAGTGATCCATGATTCATTGTTTGCGTATGAATCATGGAACACTATAAAAGTTTTTATTAAAGACTCAATTAAAAATAGCAACACTTATATAAGACTCCTTGTGTACCAAAGATTGTTCCTGGTGCCCCCAATAGCCCGTTTTACAGACCAAGAAACTGAGACCTACGGGAAGAAAGTAAAGTCAAAGGGTGAAAAGTGGTAGGCCTGGAGGCTGAACTAGGCTCTGGGGTCCGTGCTTTCACCCCTGTACTACACGGTTACAACTAAGAGACACATGGACATGCTTGATGAGGTAGAAGCAGTGAGTGAGGGGTCCCTGTCACAGCAGCATGGCGGAAGACCACAGGGGAAGACAGAGCCTAGGAGAAAGCGTGCACATGGCAATGCCTTGCAACAGGACCGGTGTCATGGCCAAGATAATAGCAGTAATGACAGGAGATTGTCATGAGGCCATGTCTAGAAGGT